AAATTGCAACAATAATAATTTTAGATATTATGAAAATTGTAGTAGTAGAGACTACAGAAATTTTAACTTTAGATGTCATAACTGTGAATCCCATGATAAGAAAAATAAATTAGAAAATAAATATGATAAAGAAACACATTATAATAAAAGAAATTATCATTGTAATGGTAAATCTCTTAGTAACAAAAAATTGAAAAATATTGAATTAAAACCAAATATTCAAAATAAAAGAGATTCTTATAAACTAATAGAGATAAATTATATAATAAATTTGAAATATTCATGATTATAGAAAATGAAAATAAACATTAAAGAAAACAATGAAACAAAGATTAAAGAAAATAATAATATTAAAAAAACTCTTACTAAATGCGATAAAAAAAAATTGAGACCTATAAATTTGAAGACTATTAAAAGCATCACTAAGAAAAGTCATAAAACTAAACGTCTTCATCCTAGAATAATACACAAGGATGTGATGAAGAGTTCTTTTTCTAAAAATTTAAGGCTCAAAAATAATTTTTTATTAAAAACAATTTTATGAATAATTATTATTTCAAAATACTTTTTAAATTAAAAAATAAGGGCATAAAGTTTAAATTTCCGAAGAGAGAGATGGATGTACAGACGTAGATATCATCTTTTATAAAAAAAAAAAATTCATAATATAATAATTTTTTTTTAAAAAAACGCTTAATTAAAAATAAATATAAAATGATATATTATAAAAAACGCGGAATTAAAAATGATATATTATGAAATTTATTTATAAAACGCAAAATTGAGAAACGTAAAACGCTATTATCTAAAACGCAAAATATATATAATATAAAATAAAAATAAAACGCGATCAATTATTTATTTTATTTCTATTCAATACTTGATAAATTTATTCTGATTCAATTATTCTTAATCAAATTCGTTATTCGTTAAATTAATTCTATTTCGTTTACTCGACGAATCTTATTCTATAACGACGTTATTCAATAATATCTACATTTTAAAATCATTCAAAATCTTCATATACATATATTTAATAACAAATAATGATTATAACAATTTTAAAAAATTGATAATAATAACCATTGAGATATGAAGCTTACGATTTAAACAAGCCAACGATTGAGACGACATATGTAACAACTTGACAATCAAAATGATGAATCATTTGGACCACAAGCTTGCTATGACAGCTCAGATGGATTGTGGAATGCTTTTCAGAAGAAGGGGAATGTTGATTGATTGATTTTTTATTTAACTTAAATTGTTATTACCTTAAAATATATATTTCGTTTAAATTGTTTTTTTTATAATACATATATATATATACCTTATTTTATTTTATTTTTAATATCATTTTTAAGTTTTAGAATAAAATAATTATAACTTAAAACCGTTTTTCTTACCATCGTTATTGTTATATAACATATGCTTAAATATCTACAAATGATTTTTGATAATTATCCAAATAAAAATTTATTATTAATATCTTTTTGAAAGAGATTATGTTATTAAAAGGTTCAACCCGTATCATATGCCATTTTAGAAGTTCGAATCTGATTGAATTTGTTGAAACATTCAGATTCGGTGTATGTTTTATAAATAATAACGGCTTATACCGGTTTGTCGATTCGATTTAGGTTTGGGTTGGATCACATTTAACTATTTAATCTTGAATTTAGGCGACTATGATTTCATATCTTATTTGTCTTTTCTAGAGATTATGACATGTGATGGAAAGGAAAGTATAAAATATTTATAAATTATTAAAATCAATTTTAAAAGTCATATATTATTTATTTTTATTTTAGTTGTTTTCTATTTTCTTGGAGCTATTAAATATTTGGGCCCATATCTAAGATTTCAATATAAGGAAGCAAGCTTAAATTTATGAAGGCCTTCCTCACATTGCAGATTATAGTGATTTATTTTGTGAAACTAAGCCAACTTCAGAATTTCCTCTCTCTGTGAATAATTTTTACTTCTCTAAAGTTTTAGATTCGAAATGAATGCTCAAAAAATTAGGTCTGATTTAAACTTTTGTAACATTTTTTATATGCATTTATTTAAATTACAATAATATATCTTATTGGTAATATTAAAAAATTAACAACTGAATAAAAAATCTTAAAGTCCTAGTGAGAAAACTTATAGGAATCTTCTTCACCATCTCCTTTTGAAAGAATATCATAGAAAAGGTAGATTCAGAAATATGGGGAAAACTAGAGGAAAACATAACTACGCAAATGGGTTCCCGTGGAAGATGTCTAGAGAGATAGTAGAATTTGGGTTAAAAGTTTTGATACAAGATAAATTTTTATAATTTGAGATATTCTCACATATCTTTATCATGATCGGATGTTAATAACAGAATATGCTAACATTTTGGCTATACTATTATTGGGATTAGAGTAATCCACAATGCGTTATATAGGAATGCAATCTCGAAATATCTTAGTCAGAAATATGTGAGATAACATTTGGAGTCGGAGTCGAAAAACTAGACTTTAGCTACACTGTAAATTACAGTTGGGGAGCAGAGGAGCATGCGAGCCCTAGAAGGCAAACATCAATAAAATTAAAACTACTTGATAATATTAAATAAATAATATTTTTTATTCCGTATTTACTTTTGTGCTATAATTTTTAAAAAATTACACTTTTTTAACAATATTAATTTTTCAGAAAAAAATATTGGGGAAAGGATGTACACGCGGTAATAGATGAGCTTTCCCATGATGAGATTTTGAGCTGCTAATATTGATTATTTTTAAATATAAAAATTATAAAATTATTGCAATTGCTTTGTTGATAAAAATAAGCCATAATGAAAAATAATTATCAAAATATATGAAATTTATTGACAATTTATAACAAATAAAGAATGGATTAAAATTGCAATAGGATCCATGTGCCTAAAAAAAGCCTTTACATTGTACAAGGATACATAAAAATTTTAGATATATTTACTAGATAATTGTATAATATAGTTCTTTCTCTTTCTTGAATATTTGTCTTAATCAATTTAAAACCTTGTTGTTTCATTAACACTGATTTTATATATTTTTGTTACATCATAACCTAAGTCTGTTTTCTCCATAACGGCTAGTAAGGACTGATTATCATTAAATATATTAATGATTTTATCATTTGTTAGTTGTTTCTTCTTTCTAATATGATTTTTTATCATATTAAAAATAAGCAAAATTAGATTTAAAAAATAACGCCCAAAAATCTCATGTGAACCTCCCCCTGACCCTCTATAGTTAAAGTTTAATTTTATAGATAGCTTAAACCAGGGGCGTAGCTAGCTTTCACAATCTCAGGGGGCTCAACTAAAAAACGCCCCCCATAACACCCAATTTGCGGGCCTTCGTCTCCCCTTTGCCCGGCCTTCGGCCGGGTTTTATATTAATAGATTATTCTTTTTTAAAATTTGTTAACTCTGAACAATTATTCTGATTTTCATATTTTGTCATTTATTATATTATGCATACAAAATAAACTGGCATATAAAAAATCACAAAATGCAATAATATAATTCTTAGCAACTTACATTGACAAAAGATTATCAAACTAGTATAATTCTTTGTAACCATTTTCAACAATGTTTTATAGAATGGACTAATAAGGAAAAATTTATAGGCCTAAACCAAATCAACAATTTTTGAAGGAGAGAGTCTAAACGACCAATCCAAATCATAAAACTATATGGTGGTTAGAGCTTCCTCTTATATGACATGATGGAAGCTAGATAAGTAATCGAGAAAATTATTGTGAGATATTAAATTTCTAAAAGATTATCTTCCATTTTAAATTATATATAAACGACATCACAGTTGACCATTATTGTTTATCTAAAATATACAATTATATGCTCTCAGCTTATAGTAATAATCTTAAATTACATAGCAACACAAATAATAGATGCTGGTTAATTTGTAGTAATAGCCATGACACTCACGATGTAAACTAATATCAGAATTTATAATGTTAGATAAATTGATAAAATAAAAACACTAAAAATCTTTGGAAGAAATAATTATGCAAATATATTGAAGCATGGAGTAATATTCACAACAATGCCGTACTAGAAATGAAACATTTTCTAACTATAAAATAAAGACCAGAATGATATGATGAAACAATTAAGATTTTATATATTGTCGCACCACCTTGGTATATATTATCTTAAAATAATAGTAGTTTGTAAAAATATCAAAAATATACTTGTATTAAAAATTTAACTCAAGACTGCTTTTCGAAAAAGAAAAAAATAGTTTCTTAAAAACACGTAAAAAAAGTGAAAAAAGATATCAAATTTATTACATCTATTGCAGGATGCCATTAAAAAAAAATTTTTTGCTTCAGGGGGCTATTCAAATTTTTCAGGCGGCTCAAGCCCTTGCGCCCCCGACCCCTAGCAACGCCCTGGTTTAAACATATTTAAATGAAGAATAATTTTATAAAATAGGTTTAATCTTTTAAGAATAGTATTGGTTAATCAAAATATTATTATTTATCCATGACAAATTGCAGCATTAAAAATTACTATTGAGGGTATAAATTATATATTGTGTTATAAAATTTATTAAAAAAAATATAACCGCATTTGCATTATGTAGTTATACATAATTGGTTATTAAATTAACTATTAGAGTTAACTTCCTAACACTCATAGCATCTATTATAATTATAATTTCCGCAATCGATTTAATATGATATATATATTAAAGATTGAAAAAATCTTTGCATGTCTAGTTTAGTATAAACGGATTAGTTTAGATACTATTCGTCAGCAAATAATAAATAATATTTGAAAACTTGGTTATAATAAGCTCCAAAATCATCATTCTAAATTTTATAATTAACCGAACCTCAGGCTTTTACTTATATCAGAGATATACCATTACTAACATATATAAAACTTTTTAAGTGTAAAATACTTTTACCATAACCAAATTTAAATAGTATTTCTATTTGAGCGATTTACCTAGAGGAAAGTGATGATTATTCTTGGGCAAATTATAAATTCATTCACAATCAAAAATGATTTTTGATCCATATGACGGATGTAAATCAAAAAATTTATGGTATATTCAGTGAATTTAAAAGAAAAGAAAGTTAACTATGACCATCTCATTGCAGGAGTAGCAGGGGGTGTAGTATCTGCATTTATTTTACACCCTTTTGATTTATTGAAATTGAGATTTGCTGGTAATTTTAATTTACATCGCGAATTTTTATAATAATTTATTTAAAATATAAAGCTAATGACGGATTGACAAATACAATACCCACCTACCATGGTGTACTAGATGCCTTTCGCCGTATTTATAAATACGAAGGCAATATATTTGGTCTTTACAGGGGAGTCACCCCAAATATTATTGGATCAGGAACAGCTTGGGGACTTTATTTTTTTATGTAAAGTTTTAATGTGTAATCAATAAAAAAAAATATATTATAGATATAATGTTTTGAAATCGTGGATGAATGAAGGTAAAAGTACAACTTCATTAACACCTTTACAATCTACATGTGCAGCTGCTACCTCAGGTCTTATTAAATTCATTGTTAAAATTTTTGTAAAATATTTTAAAACTTTAAGGAATCCTAATGATTATGTTTTGAAAATTTAACAAATATGTTTTAGATATATTTTTTTATTTTTCTATTAAAAAAAGAGCCTATTTTGTGTTTTACAATAATAATGAATTAATTTTTTTTATGTTTTGAAACAACCTACTTAAAAATGGGAAATTTTATAGTTCAACTCTTGTATTAAAATGTATGCTGAATGTATTTAAATCTAACAAATAATCAAATGATGTATACCATAATATATAATTTATTTTGCAGATTATATAATTAATTTAAGGTTTAACAACACTCCTATTAACAAATCCCATATGGCTAGTCAAGACAAGACTTTGTTTACAAACAAATGATCCAAGTGTCACCATCCATAAATTCAAAATTTACAGGGGAACCTGGGATGCTCTTACATCTATATACAAATATGAAGGAACCAAAGGCCTATATAAAGTAGTATATATATATACATATAATTAATAATTTCAGAACTATTTAAAAAAATTCAATACTAGAATATTAGTATAATTTATAAAGCCAGATTCAGATCAATGTTTAAAACAGATTTTAGCCAAAATAATGTTTTATAAGCCTGGAGATTTGGTCATAGACAGGGTTGCCATGTCTCCCTCCATCAGTGCGAGACTCCCACAATTTTTGGGTTTACACGCAGACCTCTCCTGCTAAACTACCGCAATTGGAAATCTCCCGCAAAAATCTACCGCAATTTTTTAATTTCTCTGCAAATTTTTTTTTTTAGTATTTTAACGTTTTTAATATATAAATAATAATTTTGAGAGACATTAATAATTGATTATTTTTATATTTTAAAATAAATTTTAAATATTTATTCAAAAAACATTCTAGTTTGTAAATTTCTTTTTATCCTGTTTTATTTTTATCCAATAATAATTCAACATCAATTCATTCATATAAGTTAGTACAGGGGAGTATATCAACATCGATTGGAATACAAAAATATTCTCAAACATAATAAATAATACAGATGCAACTACATTTGCGGAAATTGTATACATCTATTATGTAGTTCAACATTCACAGAGCTATATCATCACAATGTGGGTTGAATCCTTTTCTCATGATATTTAACGACTCCAATATAAGTATGAACCTTACTTGGCAGAACAAAAATGAGCAAGGCTATCACAAGTGATTTACTACCTGAATCAAGTGATTTACTACCTGAATCCTAGAGGTCAATCTAGACGATATGAAAGATGGGCATCAATATGCAATTCTAACAGATACATCTAATAAGGGAAATATTAAAACATTCCCTCGATCCTTCGCTATTTCAACAAGAATAAGAACATTTCAATAAAACTGTTAAAATTCTTTCCTCGAATAGTGAAAAATTTAACAATGTAGCTAGCCACATAATGTTAAATATAGCTGATTCAGGGTTATAAATGATTTGCATGTCAGCTTTCTGCGCTGATAATGCCTCTGTAGATTTTGGCAAAAACTAAAGTTACCTAATTGAGGCAGCACAATAATGAATTAATACCAATTGGCTGTATATGCCATATACTACATAATTCTTGCAAGAAGGCAATCAATGTACTATCGGTGGATGTCGAAATAATTGTGATGAAATGTTTTAACGAATTTAGTTCATCAACTAAAAGAGTTAATGAATTAAAAGAGTTGGTGACTGACTTGGAATGGTGTGAGTTGTTGCGATATATACTTATCAGGTGGTTTTCATTAATACCTACCATTAATAGAATTTTAAAATTAACACTTAAAAAAATACCTCTTAAATAGAGATTTTAAAAGCTGTCCTAAAATTTTGAAAAATTTTTCGAATATGAAATGGCAGAAGCATATTTGGGATTCGTTTCACATGTAGGAAATCTACTTCATGCAGTTAATATTTAGTTGCAATCAGAATATTCTTTATTAAAAAAGATTCACAAAATCATGCTACAGCTCTGTTCAAGTTAAAGATTGATAATAAATTTTACGCCGCTATTGCTAAAAATATTTTATTAAAATGTTCAAATAATACTTTAATTAATACATTTTTAAATGAAGCAGATATTTTTATTAAGACAATTTTAGAATATTTACAATCAAAATTTGATTTTAATAACTATTTACAAATGTATAAATATTATGACCTTGGAACAGAAACCATCAATTGATGGTTTTTATAATTTAATAAATATATTAAAAATATCGAAAGACATTGATGTCTTGTTTGAGGAGATTGTAATTCTCTCTATTTTTTATGATTCACCAAAATAAAGTTAGATGGTCTAAAAGCAGAGGAGAAATGAGTAGAATTATTTCGTAATAACGATAAATCCCCATGCTTGGAAAAAATATGCGATTATGTCTTCTCCTTACCTCATTCTAATGCCTCATCTGAGCGCATTTTTAGCCAGATGAGGACTGCCTGGAAAAAGGAGAGAAATCGGATTGCTTTAACAACATTAGAGGCCGAGCTAAATGTCATGCCTGGAAATTTATAAAAATCTCAATAACGACGGTAAACATTTAGTTCTATTATTTATATCTCAAATAAAATAATTGAGTTTTAGCAATGGTGCCATAAAATTTATTGTCAATTTTTAACTGTAAAGATGAACACATCTGCAGCATAATTTTGTGAATCTTTAAGATTCTTCTGAATGCAACTACACATTAACAGCATGTAGTAGATTTCCCACATGTGAAATCATTCCTAAATATACTTCTGCCATTCATTAGTGAAAAAAATTTCCAAAATGTTAGGACAGCTTTTATAATCTTTATTTAAGAAATAATTTTTTAAAGATTTAAAAAATTTCAAAATTATATCGGTGGCGGATATTAGGAACATATCGCAACAAACATTGTGCTGACTCAATTCTGTAAATACACTATTTTTACCAAATTCACTGAAGCATTATCAGATCAGAAAGCTGACATGCAATTTATTGATAATCTCGAATCTGCTATATGGTTAGCTATATCTTTGGATTTTTCACTATTTGAGGGGAAAAAATTTAATATTTTTATTGAAACGACCTTTATTTTGCTAAAATAGCGGAGGATCAAGGGAAATATTTTAATATTTCTTAGATGCATCTGTTAGAATTGTATATGAATGCCTATCTTTCAAATCGTCAAGAATTTAACTCCTGGATTTAGGTCATAAAATATTGATGATTGCTCATTTTTGTTCTACAAGTATAGTTTTCATTTATATTAGGATCGTTAAATATTATGGGGAAAAGATTCTACCAACATTGAGATGATAATTATCTCTGTGACTGTTGTACTACAAGATAATTCATTACAATTGCCGCAACTGTAGTTGCATCTGTATTATTTCTATTTTTAGAGTACCTTATTATGTATTTATACGTGATAATTAAGCGCCTATCCCTATAATGTTATACACACACACGGTAGATTTCCAATTGCGGTCGTTTTGCAGGACATTCGCATAAAATATATTTTTAATTGTACGTTTATTTTTATAAAATTTTATTTTGTTTACATTCTTTTATATTTTAAAAAGATCGTTGTTTTTTTTTATAAATTAATATATTTTAATTAATCAAGATGTTATTTTATTTTGAAAAATAGTTACCGACTTTGTATTTATATTATAAACTAATTATAAAAAATAATAGGCGGATAATTAAGTCAATTCAAAATCTCGGCCTAAAATTTTTTTTAGCAATTTTTATATTTCTACCGCAATTTTCATATTTCTCCCGCATATTACCAAATTTATCCCACAATTTGGAAATTTTGACCTGGCAACCCTGGTCATAGATGACAGAAAGGTTTGGGTTTTTATTTGCCAAAAGGCTTACATATTATTATTTTGGCTAAAATTTAATCAGGTCATTAAAAAATAAACCCAAATTTAGCTTTTTAAAAACCATAGTCATAACCCTCATTTATTCAAATTGCAAAAATTCCTGATCTAGATTTAATTTACTAATTGGTTACTATGTCTAAACCAATATTCCTAAAAGTCTAATACATTTATTTTCTTAGAATCAATATTAGAAATTAAAATTCAGTTTCAGTTCGTGATTAATATAAAATATTTATATCTTGATTAAAAGAAAATTATAAATATTAAAATTTATATAAATTTTAGGGTTTCGTTCCAGGTCTTTTTGGAGTTTCTCATGGCACTCTCCAATTTATGGCCTATGAAGAACTTAAAAAAAGATATTACATTTACAAACACCTCCCAAAAGAAAAAAAATTGGTAATAATTATAATTTATATATATATATATCTTGCCTTAATTAGCAATGTACGTAATAAGGCAATGTATGCAATGCCTTATAAAAACTTCTTGAAATTTATGATGTAAGCATTTTTACAGAGTACTAAAAATGCCATTCCTTGAAAAATCAGATTCTTCATGTAAAGACACCTACCATTTAAATTTCTAAAAATTTGATTATGAACCTTTGAGTTATTTATATATATATATTATCAAGTAAAAAACCCAGAAATATGCAGATTTTTGGGTTACGCATATATTGCTGGTAACATTTATAAGTAGTGTTGTTAAACGGCTCGATTTGAGCCGATTTTTAAAAACGGCCAGCCCAATGTTCTGTCCAGAAAAATATTACGCGAGCCTGAAGATTTTGCTGATAGATGACAATATATGTTTTAATAGCCATCTGTCAGCAGAATCTCGAGGCTTATATTCTTTTGGCTAAAATATTGAATTAGTCGTTTCTAAAAATCGACTCAAATTGAGGTGCTTAAAAACACTATCTATAACTAAGTTTGACGTGTATGTCAGAATTACAACAAAAAAAAGATTTTATTGAATAATCTAAAAATATATAGCAAAATTTTGCTTCTATAATCAATCTTTCGTGATGACTAATCGATTTATATCTTTTTGTAATAATTACAATGAATGGCAATGTAATGAAAAAATCTTAATAACTTCCTCTTTTTTTTAAAAAAAAATAATATATATATGACATCCCGTCCCTGCACTTTAGAACAATCACGAATACCTAACTATGGCCGCCTTGTCGAAAATTTTCGCGGTGAATTTAACGTACCCATTTCAAGTTATCAAATTTCGACTTCAAGATAGGAACAAAGATTATGGCGGGTTTAGGGACGCAGTTGTCAAAATTATGAAGTTTGTTTTTTGTATATAAGTTGCTTTATCCCATTTATATATATATTTTTTAAAAAAAACAAAAAATTGATATTTGGAAGCAGTCTAAAATGCGCAACTTGAATTTTATAAATTTTCTGTAAGGCGCGCCTGTCACCAAATTTTTAAAAGTTGCCGAACCATGGTTACAATGAAGAGTAGATAAAACTCGTCAAATCTACATTATTTCTTTAATATAAATTACAAAGATGCACAACAAACATGCTGCATCAAAATTTTTCAAAATAAAAATATATGATTGATAAAATACTATTCACACTCTAAAACCTCGTTTTAATTAACTTTCAACGGGCATAAAATTTAGTTAATTGTAGCCACTTTGTATACTTAGCCGCGAATTTTCGCTAACTGTGAATTCCAAGGTTAGAATTCCTACATATATTTTCATTTTTTTTTGCCCATAAAAAACGGTTTAGATACAAAATTTTAGCCAAAAAATATTTGCTACATCGATTAACGAAATCTCAAGGTTTGCATAATATATGGGCTAAATTGGATTAGTCGTTTTTTTTAAAATCGAATCATTTATCAACCGCTAACTTTTAGTATGCCACCATCTATGATCATATCATAAAATAAGTTCATTTATAATAATACATCAAATTTTGATTTAAATTATTCTTTTATCAACGTAAAAGAATGTAAATATTAGTCATTTATTTATATAGTGAAATCTCTTGCTATCTTGTAGAGAGTAGAGTAGCCCAATCCAGTCTAGCCTATTCGTGATCAATGTAAACTATTGGACTTTTTTTTTAAAAAAAATTATATATAAACATAAAAATAAGTTTGTTAATTATTTTTTTTAAGCATATTTTTAGTTAGTTTTTTTAAAAAAAAGGAAAATTATCACTTCAATTATATAAGAATGTTTTTAATTATTTCTTAAATATTAGTATATTTTAAATTAAGACGCCATTTAAGGATCGAAAAATTTAGAAATATGGCTGATAATGAATGTTTTGAAGAAGGCGAAAAATCGGTCCGATACGATAATATCGGTACCATCTTACCCTTTATAGTTAACTTTATTAATTATAGCGGGTAAGGTTTAGCAAAAATAAAAATTTATTTTTTATTAATTCTAATCAACGAACAATATAATATATATTTTTTTAAAAGATAAAATATTAAAGTAACGAATTAATTTTTACGTTACTCGTTATTCAATTTTAAATTACGATTTTCGCCAAAATAGTATTTTTACAAGGTAGGGTTGTTAAACAGCTCGATTCGAGCCGATTTTTTAAAACGGCTAACTCAATATTTTAGCCAGAAAACATATTGCCTACACCTCGAGATTTCGCTAATAGATGTCGCTTATGCTATCTTTGAGCTGAATCTTCGGGGCGTGTCTAATATTTTTCTGGATTAAAATAAAAATCGGCTCAAATCGATCCAATTTAACACAACACTATACCCAAGCTTCAAGATTTTGTTGTTATCCATGACTCTGCCATATATGAACAAAATCTCCAGGCTTGCATAATTATTTTTGGCTAAAATATTGGAGTAGTCGTTTTAAAAAAAATATGCGAGCCTAACTACAATACTCGTTACTTTCTATTTTATTATCATTAAATTATAATCGTTTATTGTTTTATTCGTGTATAATATTTGGGTATATTATTTTCTATATATAAATCAGAGTTTTTATAACAAATTATACGGGTACCCCATTTTATTATTTTTTCAACCGTTATTTTTATAGGTCCATTAATTTCTTCATGTATATTGTATTATAATTGATGTTAAATAAAAATCAATAATACGTAATTACGAATAGTAATAATAATATTATATATTTAAGATATAAAAAAATCGATAATGCGTAATCAAAAAAAATTGACAAAATCAATTAAATTTAAAATATCATCAATTATAATACGCTGCCGCCAACAGAAGACCATTCCTTCATTCCCCTTTCAGGAAAGCGTCCAATTCCAAATCCGTCATTTCTAAATCTACTATTTCTGGTGCTTCCACCGGTCCATTGCTTGTAGTATCCAATGCTTCCGCTACCGTAGGCGCCACCCTCGACACAGGTACCTCCTGTATCACTGGTCTCGTCTGGATATCTCGGGTTGGCTGTCTTTCTACTTGTCGCCTTGGTCTCCGCGGACAAAAGGGGGCTATATGACCAGTTTGCCGTATCCAAAACACTTTGTTTCTTGACAATCCCTAACCATATGTCCTTGTCCACCACAATTATAACAAGTTATGTCTCCTCTCCCTCGAGAATTAAATCTCGGTCTCATCTCCGTTCTATTTTTCACCAGATTTTCTCTGTCTCCATATGGTCTCAACACTTGACTTCTATACCCATATTTTCCAAATACATCGCCTTCAGCACGTCTATTTATTAAATTATTTTCTGATAAACCTAATACCTCACTATCAGTCCAACCCTTTATTAATTCCTGCACTGGTAACCAAGTTACCTTTCCCATCACATCTTCCTCTCCATTATTTCCTTCTATCGTCAAAGTCTGCCCCTTGATCCTAACACTTCGATTGCTCCTAGTTCTCCTTCCTAGGATTAAACTACACATCCCCTACGGTAGCGGAAGCATTGGATACTACAAGCAATGGACCGGTGGAAGCACCAGAAATAGTAGATTTAGAAATGACTGATTTGGAATTGGACGCTTTCCTGAGGGGGGGATGAAAGAATGGTCTTCTGTTGGCGGCGGCGTATTATAATTGATGATATTTTAAATTTAATTGATTTTGTCAATTTTTTTTGATTACGCATTATCGATTTTTTTTATCTTAAATATATAATATTATTATTACTATTCGTAATTATGTATTATTGATTTTTATTTTAAAAAAAATACAATATATTATTTTTTTTAAAAAAAAGTTGTTGAAAAAATAAAATTAATATTAATAAAAGGATAAAAAAAAAAGGGTTGTAAAAAATAATAATTATTATTATTGAAAAGATAAAGAGTTGTAGAAAATCAAAAAGGAGTTGAAGTAAGTTTTTTTTTGTTAAGAAAATTATTATCGAAAATTTAAGTGTGGAAGTAAATTAAATTTTAAAAGAGTTGAAATAAAATATTTTAAAATAAGAAAATTGCGTTGAAAGAGTTGATTTTTTTTTTTAAAAAAATTAAGAAATATTAAGTGTTGATTTAGGTTTAAAACAGCGGAGAAATATCACATATTGGAGAGGTAAGCAGAAAATAATTCCCCGGAAAAAAAATCCCGGAAAAAAAATCCCCGGAAAATAAATTCCCCGGAAAAAAATCCCCAGGAAAATAATTCCCCGGAAAAAAAATACCCGGAAAAGAATTCTCCGGAAAAAAATTCCCCAGAAAATAATTCCCAGGTAAATAATTCTCCGGAAAAAAAATCCCCGGAATAAAATTCCCCTGGAAAATAATTCCCCGGAAAAAATTTCCCCACTATACATTAATTTGCTAATGCATTGCTAACTGCATTGCTAAAAAGCAATCAATCATAATTAATTATAAATCAATCAAAAATTTATTACGCATATTTTTTTAATGATAATTTTTTAAACTTTTTTTAAAATATATTTAAATCATTTTTTTATTATAAATGAAGAATACTGATTAAATGATATAGTATATAATTTTATTTTTATTTAATATTATTAGTAAGAAATTTATTTTTCTAGCTTATTAAAACAAATATACATTTTATTTAATTTTAAAAATTAACAAATATATATCCGTAAGAGGGCGTTATATGTTTGAATATGTATCATTTTAGGAAACCGGAATGATGATTGGATAGCACTTTTTTTATATTTGGGTATATATATACATATGAAAAACCTAAAAATTAAAAATTTTTTTAGTTATCTTTGATGTTTAATGAGTAGGTTTAAAATAGTAAAACAATGGAAATTTTTTAAAGTAAATATTGCTGGCGTTATTTATCAAAATCTCTTCATTTTTGTTTTATACGTGTATATTTACGTGCTAAGCATTATTCTAAAAAATATTTTGAAAATAATTTGATTTGACCGATTGCCGAGTTCAAAACCGACCACTTATTAAATATTTGATTGATCAAATTTGCTATTAAGATAAATTGAAAAATGTTGATTTTTGTTTTATGTATCTATAAATACGTATAAAACATAATTCCAAAAAATATTTTAAAAATATCGTGATTTGACCCGAAAACCGACCGAATGACCAAATACTGCATTGCTGGCGTTATCGATGGAAAAATCTTCATTTTTGTATTATACGCGTATATATATACGTGCTAAGCATTATCCTAAAAAATATTTTGAAAATAATTTGATTTGACTGATTGCCGAGCTCAAAACCCCACTTACTAAATATTTGATTGATAAAATTTACTAGTAATATGATTCGAAAAATGTTCATTTTTTGTTTTATATATCTATAATTACGAGTAAAACATATACGGGTCGGTTATCCGCCAAACCACGATATTTTTAAAATATTTTTTGGGATTATATTTTATATGTATTTATAGATATATAAAACAAAAATGAACAATTTTCAAATTATATTACTAGTAAATTTGAATCTAGGAAAATAATTCCCCGGAAAAAAAATCCCGTGACCCGGATCTGCTCTGCAGTATTTAATTAAATAGAAATGTTTTTTAAAGTCAAATTTCTTCGAGGATTTGAGATTTTAAATAATAAAACGAAAGTTAAATAAATCTAGTTCACCTTTACACACTTTCATCAACTTTTAGGTATTTATTGAAAAATTATTTTTACACAAATTTTAATCATTTTTTTAGAAATATGATAAAAGGCTTTTCACAGTTTACTGACTCTTAAATAGCGCCCCTTTTTGTTTTTACAAGGATAAGCTATTAAATAATATAATTTTATAAATTTTGTGGCTAAATAGGAAATTAGCAATTCAATCTGATACCCTCTATTTGATAAAAATTATTTTACTGAAGTATTTACCTACTTTAAGAATTTAACTGACTGAATACAAAATCACTATAAAACTTGCAAAATTATATTTTTTACTGCCCAATTTTAATTAAATACTGCCAAAAGTAATGAAAAATGCTGACCACTTTAATCAAAATACATCCAGAGGTGATTATCAGCAGTGAGTATTATATTTTTCTAATCTAACAATTATTATTTTGCTTATGAATTTTTTTCAAAAGTTACAGAAAAGAAATAATTATAATTTTATTAATTGATATATAGAATAATAAATTATATTATTCAAAAGAAACAATTCTAGAACGTATATGTTCTCCAATTGAAGAGAGAAAATTGGGCAAGTCCCTTCTCTCTTCTAAATAATCAATGCATAAATTTTTTAAAATAGTTTGTTTCGTTGCATAAATACGATTTTTTGGGGGAGTGTATGTCCCAATATTCCATTGGCCGATTTTTCCCATATCAACCGCTATTTCCATCCTTATTTTTTCGAGTAGTTCCTATATCTTCGGTTTTTTGTTGCCTACAATATGCTTAAATCGGTTATTCCATCCTTCACATACATTGTTTGTTCGATTTTCCCCAGCAATCGTAACATTGAACACATTCCATGTTTCTGGTGGGAACAATGGCTCTACTTGCCTTTAAGAGTTTTTCCCATGTCTCAATTCTCCATTCACATAATTTTTATCAAAATAAAACAATAATTCTTTGTTTTCATCCGATACAATGGTTTTTAAATACTCCATACCTCGTTTGACATCGTGTATAGGTAAGAATGCTAATCCATCGATCATAGCTGCAAATAAGCATAACATTGGATCATTCCGATATGATGATTCTAACCCCAATTCCTGAATCTTTCTATGAGTTGATTGAGTTAGATGATAAAAACATCCTTGGATGTTGATATCTCTACCTAAAAGTTGAAAAAATATAGATTAAAATTATTGTATAGGTTTTATTTAATATTTGTCTTTATCAATTTTTATTAATTGTACTGTGTGACAAGAAAAATGGGAGAAAAATAAATAAAAACAAGTTTTGGTGTAGAATTTGACATTGAGTTCGAATTCGTTTTCTAAGTTTTCCCTTCACGTCAAGTTTTAAAAATATTATCGTATAAAGGCAACTTTTCGAAATCTCAAAAATGGTAATACGGATATATTTTAAAAAGTATCAAATGAAAATCCCTGAAAATTGGTGATAGTGTTAGATTTATATTTCCTTATAAATTTATTAATTTTTATAATTTTTTATCGATTGCTTTTTGAGAAAAATGGTAAAGAATTTCGTTTTGGGGGGTCTTAAGTTTTCAATTTAAATTCCCGGCAAGAATCGTATAAATATGTTGGCGGACTACTGCTGGAGTATCTTTTTTGAAAATAAATCATCAACTTCATATTCGCGGAAATATATTTAGATTTACCATTAAATGTTTTTAAATTCGATAAATTTTATGTTATTGTTTAATTTGTTTTAAATTCAATAAATTTATTGTATATTACAAGTTAAATCCTATATAATAATGAAGGAGGGGGTGAGACAACGGACCGATAAAAGGTTTATTAAAAGTAAAATATGAGATAGGTTAGCTTAGCATAATATATTTATTTAAATATGAGAAATGTAACTATTTCATTTAAAATAAATTGTTTGGGAATCGTACCTTGTGCAGTGTAGCGAAGAGAACGAAAGCTACAATAAATATATTAAATGTAAGCTATATTAAAAAAGAATCTAGAAAAATAATTCCCCGGAAAAAAAATCTCCGTTTTAAGATAATTAAAATTACAAAATTAGGAGAAAAAATTCCCTATAAATAAATCAACGAAATAATAATTCTCAAATAAAATATTTAAAAATTTTGATAAAATTAATTCTGAAGAATTATTAGGATTATGTTTTATACGTATTTATAGATATATAAAAAGAAAATCAACATTTTTCAAATTATATTCCTAATAAATTTGGTCAATCGAATATTTAGTGAGTGGTCGGTTTTGAGCTCGGCAATCGGTCAAATCAAATTATTTTCAAAATATTTTTTAGAATAATGCTTAGCACGTAAATATACGTACGTATAAAACAAAAATGAAGAGATTTTGATAAATAACGCCAGCAATATTTACTTTAAAAAATTTCCATTGTTTTACTATTCTAAACCTACTCATTAAACATCAAAGAAACCTAAAAAAAATTTTTAATTTTAGGTTTTTCATATGTATATATAATACCCATATATAAAAAAATTGCTATCCAATCATCATTCTGGTTTCCTAAAATGATACATATTAAAACATATAACGCCCTCTTACGGATATATATTTGTAATTTTTAAAATTGAATAAAATGTATATTTGTTTTAATAAGCTAGAAAAATAAATTTCCTATTAATAATATTAAATAAAAATAAAATTATATACTATATCATTTAATCAGTATTCTTCATTTATAATAAAAAAATGATTTAAATATATTTTAAAAAAAGTTTAAAAAATTATCATTAAAAAATTATACGTAATAAATTTTTGATTGATTTATAATTGATGATTGATTGCCTTTTAGCAATGCAGTTTAGCAATTCAATGTATAGTGGGGAAATTTTTTCGGGGATTCTATTGGAGATTAGTGCTTGCAATATTATGCGAATTATCTTCATCGTAGAGCTTTTAATCGAATACCTACCCTCCTATGAATTACAGACAATTTTACCATATCTATATATGATCTTCCATATATTTTATAAATAAATTATATAAATGACTGCAAAGGTTAACGACAAAATTATCTACAATCATATAGATAGGTAATCCAAACATGATGGATTATATTTACGTTAAAATCAGATTTATAAATTTAAAAAATGGGCGCTTCAGAAAATGATTTAAAGTTGAAAAAATGACACTTTGCATGGAAAAACTCATTGAAGCTTGACATATAATATAAAAATAAATTTTGACATTAGTTAAATATGAGATAAACAGAATAGACAAAAATTGAAAAACCATAACAAGCAGTTTATTTCTAAATAGTTGACTAAACGAATTATTTAACATATTTTCAGATAGGCTTCTAGTTGGATTTTTATATTTAAATTTAATTAACAATTCAAGGGTTACCTACGCTCGAATTAACCATAAAGAAGGTTTGTAACTGTATAATATATTTTAAAAAACTGGCATATCCATTACGACCTTTGGTTGGAGTTGCTTTATCCTTCTTCAACGAGGGCTTGAGATTTTACATCTGCAAGCTTACTTGGCGAGCCTCGAGATCATATAGTTCGCCTCAAAGCTAACATAAATCTCAACTGTAATCTACTTCCCAAACGAGTTTTCTTAGACTTACTTTTTCTTACCTATTTTTCTTCTTTATTTGTTATATATATTATTTTTTTTACAAATTATGATTGTTTACTAAAAAAAATCAATTATTTATATAAGGGATTTTTTCTATTTTGAATTATATAAATATTATTAAAATAAAAGGCTGCAAATGCCGCAGCTGACAGTTTTATTTTATTCGCTTATATTTATTTATTTAATTTTGTTTTTTTTTCAAAAAATTTCTCATATTTTAGGCACGAAGGTATTCTCGGGTTTTATAAAGGATGGATTCCTCAAATCTTACGCGTGACGCCAGCCACTTGCATAACATTTCTCGTTTACGAAAATTTAATACAATATCTTAGCGAATTATAACTTTAGAAATATTTTACCAGATAACATCTGTTGTGATTGATATCTTTTTTTTTTATATATAAATACTCTTTTGTTGACTCGTTTAAATTAAGAGTTATCATATCTTGTTATCTGTGAACTAATAAAATTAATTTCGTTTTTTATTATTTGATATTCACAATTGGGAATATGATTGTTTTAAAAAAAATTAATAATTTATTGTAAATAATATGAAACGCTATTACTTATCTAGATATTTTTTTTAAACCCCCGATTACTATTTTTGCATGAATATTAAGATTTAATTTTAGCGACTTTCAGAGTTGGGCAGTACCGCGAGTATGTAACTAAGTTACAATATCCTTTTGTATCTTGTACTCAGTATTTTGATATTTTGAATAAGATACTAGTATCTGTATCTAAGATCTAACTTTTTAAATACTGTATCTGTATTTTTTTTCCGGGGCACCTGCTCAACTGCCGATTTATTAGACCTCGTTCTAATTTTTGTTACTAATTCAATCAATGTGAATTTTTTTATGAAATCACCACATTGCATGCAAATAAAAAGTAATTTTATTTTTGCTAAAATCCTCTCATTGACTGTAATTCTAATGCCCTACAAATCTTCGCTAATTAATAGAATTAAATTTAGTTTTTCATGATAATTTCTGAAGACGTGAATGTTAGTTAAAAAATATACGGCAAATTATTAAATATCGAACTTTTTTTAAACATAAAAAATGTATGCCAATCTTTGCTAATTAGGCACAAATTTACAAAAGTATTGTTAGTACTTCATCATAATTCCAATAATGTTACCGTTCAAAGATGGATTTTATATTTACAATTAAACATTTAATGGAAAAATATCGCTTGAAACAGACGGATCAAAATATAGTGTTGAAGTTCCTAAGAATTTAATAAGGTGGTTAAGAAAAGAAAGATTCCAGAAATACGATAATATTACAAGATATATATTATGATAATGAAAAGATAATTGGAGGCAATATCCAGAATCTGCAGTGTTTTAAAATTTAATGTCGAGATAAATCATGGAGTAGTATATACAAATTTATCAATAGTGTGTGGTATTATCCTATGAACTCATTAATTTGTAACCCCCCTTTATGAGGGTTTTGATTTCAGACTTATATAGACAGATTAAATCATCAATTTTAATAATAAATTTTAAACTCCGAATGCCATTTGTGTAAACATTACCAGGAAGAGTGGAATAGGTTTTAATTATCCTAAAATATTATGTTGCGCTTTATATTTTTATATAATGGTAAAAGTTACATAAGATATTCATAATTAGTGTAATTTTTTGATAATTATTTGCTCACAATATTTTTTAATGAATATATCGCAACCTTATTAAGCCTAATTTTTTCCTTTGATTCATGAACTACAGGACTTTTAATGTTTCAAGGATATTTTTATATCCAAATTTATATAACATTAGGACTAAAAATTATTTTTAAAAATATATCTACGCATTTCGCAAAGAGTACCTATCTTCACCACCCAAGGTTTTTTACTTCAATAGCATATTTTTGACCCTGATTTCTTGTGCACGTGAAAATAAAATCTTAAAAGTCATGCATAAGCATGCGGTACTCGAGATAATCGGACTTTAACTTTTATTCTCTTGTATTTTAGATCTTGAACCACAATAAATTTTAAAATCATTTATTTTTATTACTCTTTTAATGCCAATTTTTTGGTTTATATATTACTTAAGCGCTTATAATTTTTCCGCATTAATTGAAATATCGTACTTTTTTAAATTCGAAACGTACTCGGACCTATCTGAAAAAAAATAATACTCGGATTAGAATGTGTCGGACAAAATTTTTTCTTTTCTCTAATCATGCCCGATCCTTTAAAATAGATACAATAAGATTCTGTTAAAAAATTAAGTCTGGCTGGACCTAAATAAATTTTGCTTTTAATTATATTAATTAATCAGTTGGAAAATCATATAAAGAAGGATATAATATGAACTGAACAATTTTTACCTTTGCTTTGAAACAATTTACAAAACAGAACTAAAAATCACAATTTGAAATTGAATCAAAAAAATACAAAACAGGGTTTTAAAACTGTTATATTCGCTTGTGATCGACGATTGCTAAATTAATTTGAATATAAATTATATTTTGATATAATTTGTTAGTTTGTGAATATATGATCGACGATTGTAAAATATTAATTTGAATATGTAGTCTAGGAATATATTTTTTTTATGAACTAGAATAGACTTGTAATTTTAATTATTTTTTATGAATACTTGTAATTTTTATTATTTTTATAAATTTTTAATATACTTGTAGTTTTGTTTTGCATATTAAAAAAAATGTATATAAATGGGATAAAATTTCCTAATAAAACAGTTGTCTAGTTTTATGATTTTAAAAGCTTTAGTATTATGGTGCAAAATTCAGAATATTAATAGCGTGGTTGAATACAAGTCATATAAGGAATAGTAACATTCCTAAGATTATTAACCGAAATTATTAAATATTTATATATCAATTTTATTTAATACTAGGTTCCTTAATTGTATTAAGTCTCTCCCACTAGCTTCGACAAATAAATTACAATTCTATATAAGGAGTGGTAACAAAAACTAAATTTTTTCAAATCAGAAAAATTTTAGGTATACTATTACCAACCTGAGATATGTCCACTTATATTTAAAAATATGAACATTATCTATATTATTATTTTTGGAAAGATATTTAATTATTTAGGTAGAACAAATTTATAATTCTGAAATCAAATATAATAATTAAGGAGAAAAATAAATTAGCTGATTTTATTGTTTCATTCAAAACACAGTTATATAATCAGCTCAATGTTAGCTTATAAAAGAAAAGAGAATTAGAATTATTATAGTATAATAGTGTCTACATGACTGGGGTAGGTAGGAAACAAATGTCTACAAAATAGATTGGCATTTAGGGTGATGGTATAGATTTGTGGTAAATATTTTTTTGAGGGTGAATTAATTTTTGGAGGTAGGTAATAAATTTTTTTAGGGGTAATTTTTGACTTGAATTATATACCTTTTAAATTTAATAATTAATACGATTGATCTGTCTCTCAAATAATAAAAATCTAAAAAAAATTTCTTATAAAATTTTAAGCCTTTGTTTATTTTTTTAACATTTTACAATTCCACACGGAAAATATTATTATTCTTATTTGTTAATTTTCTAAAATTATAGGTGTTAAGATATATTATTAATTTTATTATTAAATTTCGGTAAGAATATAATAAATCATTTAAAATTTTAACAAAATACCTTAAATATTATTATAAAAATAAGATTTTCGGTAGGTAAACAAATTTTAACTATACTCTTTATTTAATAATTAACAAACATCCAAAGTTATTGAAGATTCTCGGATTATATTTCTTCTTTCAATGATCAATCCCAATGGATTGGTCCATTCAGCTTTTCAATTGATTGTTGAATATATATCAAGAATTATAGATTTCATTTTTTCTAGCCTAATTAGGTAGTAATGAGATTATAAATGGCAGCTTATTATAAGATTCTTATTATTAATATCACTATAACATCGTGGTTTTAGGGGTGTAGGGGTAGATTTTGTAGGGGAGTTTGCATCGATTAAATATCCTGCCATGTTAGACGCCATAGTTTAATATGTCTATTTATCAACCACAAATCGTCATTGTAACTTGTAAGTAAAGCAAAAATATTGAATCACATCAATCCTTCAAAACATATGTTTATGTTTTTTTAAAGTTTGATGAGCATACCAGAGCCAAGAGTGGGGCATATTAGCTTTACATATAAGAATTTAGCTGGTGTTTGGGGTGGGTATCATGATCATATAGGTAATGATAGCAGAGAAACCAGTGAAACCAGTTACTCTTCAGCAAAAGATTTATGGCTTTATGATACAGACTTAGAGAAATGGTATATATATATATAAATACATTAATTCTCTTTTAATAATTTATTAAATATTCTTATATTGCTTTAATTATATTTCTTCTTTATTAAGATTTGATAATCATATTTATAGGAATTTAAAAACAACCGTTTTTGATGATGAAATCAACAGGATATTTGGTGTTTCTGGTGCCCTATCTCATCTTCATAATGATACATTATTTATATTTGCTGGATGTAGTTCTAGTTCTAGGACAAACCACTTGTTTGCACTAAACCTAATTGATTTGACTTGGAAAAGAATTGAAACCGATGTTCTCAGCTGGTCACCTACCCCAAGAGACAAATTGGTTGGGTGGATATATGGAGAAAAGTAATCAAATTTATCTTAATTTATGTTTATTTATAATTAATATATAATGATTTAGATATTTTAACAGTCAATATAATATTATAATTGCTAGATTTATTTAATTTAACAAATGATATAAATGAAATTTGCAATATCTTATAAAAATTAGATTTAATCTCTAATATAAATAGGAAAATTTGCACTTAAAATAATAGAATTAACCGGTATGATATAAAACACTAGCATTAAATATAATATACCAAAATTTAGAAAAAATAGATTTCATATTATAAAAAAATATATAATGAAAGTTTAAATTTATTAATGAGTTTATAATTTAATTTTAATTATTATTTAATTTGTTCAAAAAATTAACTCACAGAAATAAATAAATTATCTAAATTCTTAAAATATTAAATTCATCATATTTACTACAAAATGTGTCTAGTAAAATTTTATTATAATCGGTTGGATATAGGTTATAATCAGGATTAGAGTTTGGTAATTATTACAATCCTCCTCTCTACTTATACTATTGTAAAATGGCCACCACTGGCTAAGACAGGGTATTTTTTTTTATTACACATCCTTTTTGTTTAGTGTAGATAAAGGTTGGTTTTTCTTTTAATTTGTAATTTTGCACCAATATTTTTTTAAACCAAATTGGACCAATTTTTTTGTCTTTTTCTTAAAAAAAATTTATTTTGATCTTAGTTAAATTTGATTTGTTTTCTCGTCTCATTAAAATAAAATTAATAGTTAAAATAATTTAGATTCTCTTATTTATTGATTTTGTTGATTTCGGCCAAGATAAATGGATTCAAATTAATATTTATAGGAACGAAAATAAGTAAGTGTAATTCCAGGCAAAGGATTCGCCTGAATCCCAAGGGATTGTTGTAAGGTCATCTTGTTTTAAGTCATCTTCTGATGATAGATTAGGGATGTTATATGAGGTTGAGGATATGAGCAACAATTCTATGTTTATGTGGTTTATTGCTGCATAGCATTGGTGTCTCCCCCTTCTATCTTGGCAATTGATATTATAATCCTATTTTATTTTCAGATTGCTATTAGTTTTCCGAAGAGAAATTATTCTAAGGTTCAGAATATTTCTAGCAACCAGCTTTTTCAATGAAATTATTCTATAACTTAATTTTGATTGAAAATACAAGATTTGAATTTTTATTTTACCCATTCTCGATCCCAATTATGAAAATAATTTTTAATTTATATTTTGAATCCTACCGGTAAATGTTATACAATACAGTTTGTGGTTGTTACATGTCACACCTAAACCTTAGAAGCGTAACTTTTAATTGCACCTTTTAATTGGCCGCTCTCTCAGTTATCAGCTAAAACAAGTGGTTTAGATTCTTATTCACTCGACTTTTTAGCCTTGTCATTCGATTATTAAACATTTCTACGATCTCATAAGTTCATATCTTCCTATTTCATCAAGGTAACTAACAGAATGGAGGCAAATATAACCCCCAATACTCCTTTCAATCAATCAACCCATAAAAAATTTTAATTCTAAAGTTTCATGCAGCCATTTGAGCTAATTCACCCATAGATTCTTACAATTCCTTCAATCCTATGATAGGCTTGAGGAGGGCATGCTGGGCGCACTACCTTGTCGTAACTTTAGCGATTTATTATCAGACCATTAAGAATCTCGATTGGTTACGACATGGGCGTGTTATACAACTTCAAATGAAACTTATTATTAGATTCTAAGGGAAGGCACTTATTTTGAGCCTTATCGCCTATCACCAGGAGATGGTTTAGGGCCAGATGACCCTTCAACAATTCCATACATTTTAGGCACATCTTTAATCCGAGAATTAAACACGTGACGCGTGAAATTCAATACTTCGTTACTTCACCCAAGGACATTTTTCACCAATAAAATTTAAATTTTTTTAAAATAAATATATATATTCTATAAAATTTAATTTTAGATATTTTTTTTATATTTCAAAAAAAAAATTTAAGATTGTATTTCTTTGGAGGTTACGGACCTTATCCAGAGCCTAACACTATGCAAAACTATCTTGGTTCATTCATCCAAGACTCTAACGTAAGTGTTATATATCCTTCATTTATAGTTGGCGCGAATCGCGGCGCCGCAAAGAATACAAAAATGCAGCATATTTTTGTATACTTCGCCGCTAATAATTCGCGCGCTAACTATGAATTCAGAGTTACATGAAAAACATAATATATTTGAATTAACAACTGGCTCAGCCCGAAAATATTTCGCCCGACCTGGGCATCTTGAGATTAGTATATGGTCCAAGTTTCCCAGTGTTATTATTCCTCGGATTTTTCTTTATAACAAATATTTCTTTTATTGTTAGATGGTTCGATTTTTAAAAGAGTCTAGCCTAATATTTTAGCCAAAAAAATATTGCGCAAGCCTAGAGATTTTAATCATAGATAGCTTAAAGATTTGGACATCTAACTTGCCTCAATATTATTTTGGCCAAAATCTTAATTTAGTATATTGGTTAAAATCGAGCCGTTTAAATAGCCTTAATTTCTTTATATATTACGTTTTCGAACGCGTTTAGAATATGAGCAATGGTTGGAATAACGATACTTTCGCATTCGACATTCGGATAAAGAGTTGGCTACCTTTATTTCCCAAGGTATATATATATATATATATATATAAAGTCCTTAATTTTTTTTTCCTTAAAAATTTCATTTGAAAATCTCCAAAATGATAACTATACCACTTTGCCTAACTTTTCAGTTTTAAAATAAACCTAAATGATGAATAAGTTATTATTAGTCATATAAATTGCTCATATGTTTTGATATCAATAAGAAAGGATGTTTTCTTTTATAAGCTTAAGCTGAGTTTATAGTAAACGCGCTATGATCAATTGCTAACACTATCGAAATCACAGCTGATTCTTCATATCGTTAATATTTTTTTTTGAAAGAGATAAATATCTTATATAATATTTCAGAAATATCATGTACCTTTTTTCTTCTAGTTCACTATTATTTTTTATAATCATGTAGCATTTTTTTATCATCTCATCGCAACATATGTTTTTCAAATTTTGCACTCCATATTTATAAATTATACTTGTTTACTGGGTCGATTTTGTAAAATAAAATGCTGGATTAAATAGCGCACTACTTGAACATAACGCGTTTACCATAAATTCGCCCTTAAAGTAAGGTTAAGATCATACCAGAATAAAACGATAATTATGTAGACTAGAAATTGTACAGGGAAGTTTTAAATATATATAATATATATATATATATATATACACACACACATCTATTACTTTAAAATATGAAAAATTATAAGGAATTAATACCTACTAATAAAACAGACGAAAAAATTATTTAATACGCAAACACTCGAAATATTCAAATTTCGAAATGATATTTTTTGACAATGCCCTTAAACGTTCTAGTATGGCCTTAGCCTAAAAAGTCGATGTTAATATACTCTCGTTTAAAGATGTTGATACTTGTACATTTTTTTCTAGATATCACTATTTTATTTCTTTTAGATTGATTTATTATGCATCCTTTTTTTTCTTGTTTGGGATAACAGCATCTAAAGTTTTATTGCCAATAGACTGAACAGTAAATAGAACTTCTTGCCCGAGAAGAAGGGGGGGGGGGGTGGGTTCACTTTCCAATTTTTTTATAAAAAATATTTTTTTATCATATTCCTTTCATCGTTTTTTTTTGTGAGCTTATAATAATAGATTCATTAGGTTTTTTCTAAAGATACGATTCTTTAGAATATGTATTAGATAATTATTAGCAGGATTCGGGTTCAGAGATTAAAAAAATTGTTTGGTTGGGCATTTCGAGACAACAGACCAAATAGAGACCGATTTACGGGCAACCTATCGGACCCGGGCGGATTCGAACCTCCTTTAGAAAATCGGTCTCGATTAAGTTCCTGTTATCAAAGTTTTCGCTTTAAATATCAAATTTCGGGTTCAGAACCCTGATTATTAGCGTTGTTGAAAGAAGAAAAAAAAATTTCTAAAGAGGCTAAATCAGAGACCTGCAAAAGTGCCATTTGCATTGCCCGGTCCGGATTTTTTTTCAAAATTTTTTTCGGCCGGTCCGAGTTTTATATTTTAAGACCAGGCTCGACACATGTACCCGGGCCGGGCCTGCAAGTCTCTGGGCTAAATCAAGATTTTAGTCAAAATATTTCCTAAGCCTCGTGATCTCGCGTAAAGATGGAAGAATTCGGTCTTCTTTTGGCTGAATTTCAAGGCTTATATAATTTTTTTTTTGGCTAATATCTTGATGTTCTTTAAAAAAAATCGGCTATAAATCGAAATTTTCGACAACACATTATTGTATATGATATTGATTATAGTAATAAAAAACTATGGAATAATATAATTAACATGAAATTCAGGTTATTATTTATTTAAAGGCGTAATTTATGATATTATTAAAATACTTTTGTTTAAATCACTCGATATGTATTTAAAAGGTGTGCTAAATTTTGTTTTGGAGGGATAGAGAAGGAAATCGTTGAAGGATGGGATTGAACCCCCTCCCCTGCCCCAAAGCTTCTCCGTCGACCCCTGCTAATATATAATATATTATCCTTTATATTCGAACTTTATATCAACCGATACTTATTTTTTATAAAAATATTGGATTATGTAAAGCTGGATCGGAACCATATGTTACGCGAGCTGTCATTAAGGTGTTTTGATTTTCACCTATCTTTTCCACAAGGGTTTCTAAATTCAAGAGGAAGAAGTGTGACAGATGTTATTTAAGAATTTTTTTTAAAAAAATCGATAGATTAAATAATTTAGAATTTTTCTAAAAATGTCATTAATCTAGTTGATAACCCGTCAAGAATGTCGGGAATAATAAAATCTTGAACTATTATATGAATTTTTTTTAAAATACATTTTTTTTATATAAAATAAATGACAAATTTTAGTGATTATTTATTTTATTAAATTTAGCGTAAAATATATGAAATTGTAATCAAAAATGTAGTGTAGATATTGATAAATTGGTATTATGTATGTCATTTCCAGATTTCAAATATTGTTGTTTAGATAAAAAATTTATACTGGCATATTTTGGGGTGGTAATATGAGATAAATGTATTGGCTAAATATAATTTAAATTTATTTGTTAAATCTAAATTATAATAAGTATTTAGGATTAGTGAGGGAGATTAATTTTCTGGCATGAGAAAATATTGATAAATAGGTATTTTATACTATTTGCAGAGCTCCCATATTGTGGTTGAGATAAAAAAAATTTTTACTACCATATTTTGGGGTGGTAAATAATTTAAATTTATTTGTTAAATCTAAATTGTAATATAAAAATAATTTATAAAAATTAATAAATTTTACTTTGATTGAATATAAATACTTACTCTAAAATTAATATGAGATAAATGTTTATTTTTCAATTGGCTAAATATAATTTAATTTGCTATTTTAACTTTAATAATATTCATTCTTATCATAATTTGAGGTGAGGTTAGTATTATTTTTAATATAACACAATAAGATCTAAATTATATAAATTAATTGAAAAATATTGCCTTTAAAACGTTAAGTCATGGATTCGAATCCCGTGATGTACAAAATATTTTCTTAAAATTTAACATTAGAGATATATAGTCTCCATCGATTTATAGGAAAGTTGATAGAAAAAAATAACATTAAGTTGATAGGAAATATAAAAATTAACTTTAAGATTATACGATAACGTTCATTTCTTGATTACGGTGATTATATATAGATTGCATGTGTTTTTCATTGGGTAGCTAATGAGCCATCTATAATTTTTTTTAAATCTTCTTGTGTTCAATTTCAGGTGGGGCCAATATTTGTTTCTGAAACTGAGTTCTTTATATATATATACCTTAGGATCTTATGAATTAAGGAACAAAAAATTATTCACTTATAATTTAATTTAAAAATCTTTACGCCATCTAACGGAAATTATCTTATCATTTTATGAAACTATTATATGTATGTTAGCGTTTGTTTATTTTTTTCAAGCTCAGCCTTATTTAACTTTTGTATTTCTATTTCTTCTGTTCTACAAAATGGAAGTAAAATTGAACAATATTTAAAATTTTTCAGATATTTATTAATAATTGAAATATTATGTAAAATAAATACTTATTAATTCCTAACTCACTAATAATTTTGAATTTGATAAAATAATCCTAAGCTCAGCCTTATATCTTCTGTTCTACAAAATGGAAAAATTGAACAATATTTAAATTTTTTTCGATATTTATTAATAATTGAAATATTATATAAAAAAATACTTATTAATTCCTAACTTCACTAATAATTTTGAATTCGATAAAATAATCCTAATAAATATTTCTATTTCTTGTTCTACAAAATGGAAGTAAAATTGAACAATTTTTAAAAATTAGATATTTATTAATAATTAAAAAAATACTTATAAATTCCTAACTCACTAATAATTTTGAATTTGGTAAAATAATCATAATAAATAACTATTTCTTCTATTCTACAAAATGGAAGTAAAATTGAACAATTTTTAAAAAATTCTAGATATTTATTAATGTTTGAAAATATTATTTTTAAAAAAATATTTATTAATTCCTAACTCACTAAGAATTTTGAATTTAATAAAATAATCATAATAATTATAACTAGAAAAAAATATATAATCATAATGATAAAATAAATTACCATTTTATTTCTATCTCTTTAAATCAAAAATTTTTCCATTTTAATATTTTTGAATAATGTTAATACACTCACAAGGAAAGATACACTCACAAGGTAAGGAAATTTTAATATAAAATTTATTTTTTAATGTTGGAAAATTGATATTCAAATATTTGCAAAATTGTGACTGGAGGGGTGGAGTGTGAGAGGGGAGGGAGTTTTCATTAGCTTAAAATGATATTTATGAAAACAGTCAAATTTGCGATGGGGGGATCTACCCTCCCACAATCGGTTACGCGATTGGTTAGCTTAAATGTGTTATTTTTTTCAAATTTAAAATCATTTTTTTTGAGTTTTTTTTAAATTTGAAAATATAATTTTACCGAAAATGTATTTCCATCATGTTTGGAATAACTGCCCTTTGAATTCAAGTATATTTTCCCCTTAATTTTTGAGTTCATTTATAAATTATAGAAAAAGTTCGAATCTTTGTGTTTGTTAAAAAATAAAAAAGTTAACATTATTAGGTTATATAAGTCTCCTTAAATTTTAATATTTTAAGATGACAGGAAAACGATCATTCGATTATGAGGATTATATATATCAGAGACCTGCAAGAGGTACCATTTACACGGCCCGGCCCGGATTTTTTTTCAAAAATTTTTTTTACGCCCGGCTCGGAATTTTTTAAAATTATATTCCACCTGGTATATACAAAAAATTCACCTATTCGGTATTTTATCATATTTTTAAGAGAGTATTATCATTAAATAAGCAAGCATATTACATATTTTATCTTTTTTTTTATTCTAAACAGATATTTAGTATATTACAGATTGATATTATAAGAAATTTGTGTAAATAATATTTTTAGAAAATATACCATATTATTGCATTTATAAAAATAAAACTAATATTTATAAAAATGGAAATAAATTATATAATCATTATAAACCATATCTAATTGACGAATATAATAATTCATGATGTATAAATTTTTTAAAAAAATTTTACGGCCCGGCCCTGCCCGGGTTTAATAATCTTAGGCCTTGCCCCGCCCAGCCCAGGTATTTAAAAAAAAATTTCAGGCATGGCCCGGGTATATTTTATTTAAAATACGGGTCGGACCTGCAAGTATCTGATATTTATATATATATTAAGATCGTCTAATAATATTTAGCAGATGGTTTGGTCATAGTTTACACTCAAGAATATATTTAGTCTGAAGCCCCTCAAGTCGAAAAAGAACTTAGACCTAAATATTTTTTTCCGGAAATTGAACTGGTACTGATTTGGGCTTGAAAAATAAAATAGAAAATGGTGTGGCTTCTTTTGGTGTATCTTAACAAAATGATAATTATAATTTATCCGTGATAAGGAACAAATGCGATTTGTGATTTTATTTTTAAACTTCATTTCACTTCATAAATATTCGTTAGGACCGATTGCAAAAACCGGACCCGATAAAGGCTAGGATTAAATGTTATTTCTAGTTGTTTCCAGAAGAATCGACAGAAAATAAAATAAATATAATGCATCCTAAAATAAATAGGGCAATATATTGAGCCCCAGGGCTGCTCACGCAAGCGCACAAATCAAACACCGGGTTTTTGTTTTTGGCGGGAGAACCAGTAATTCCAGGATGTCCGATTTGCACTGTTTTGATTGTATTTCCGAATCTTGGAGTGGCGAGTAATCTTCATTTCATTTGTTTTTTTACCTTATTTATTTTTTATTACCATCTTAAAATATCCCACGAAAACTTTCATATTTTTATTCGCAATGGTAGTGGACAAAAAATATTTTTTGAATATCGTCGCCTGAGAATTAGATTATTCCATCTCCACTTTTTTTGTAATTTTACGTATGCGCAATTTTAAATATCAAGCTTCTATTGTTTTCAGGATTGGTTAACCTTTATATTGGCTATATTTTAACCTATTTTTATAAATATTTTCGGATAATAGTATATTTTTGACAAAAAGTGGATATTCTAATTTTCAGGCGACGATAGACGATATATAGTCGTAATTTTCTCGCAAAAATACGCCTTACAGTACCAACAAATTGAGCGTTTCAAGCGCCAATATTATAATGCCTTTCAAATGGCCTCGTGCAAATTGGTAAAATTACCTTTTGGCGTTAGCAACCATTTTAAAAAAAAACTTAAATAGGTTAGCTTTTTCATTTACTTTTTCTTATTTTTCGCTTTGTAATATTATATAAAAATGTAATATAAATAAATTACTTATTTATAATCCTAAAAAAGGAATATAAATTAAAGAAATAAGAAGGCAGACGATTATATAATTTTCAAAGACATATCCTTTTTTTTTTAGAATTTATTTAAATTTTGAATCGACGGATATTAATAAAAAGACTACCTCAATTTAAACAAGGACGCGTTACGTTTTTTTTATTAAAAAAATTACGGCAAAACGTAAACGCTCAATTTGTGCGTACTATTATACTTGTTATGGATATTTAATTGTCCTTAGCGCCAATAAATTTGTCTACGTTCATTTCATCATTTTAATTTAGTGCTTAGATAGTTAAAGAAGGACTGTATTACAAATAAAATAGATTGTATCATCAATTAATAAATTTATTTATTTAAATAACTTAGGCTATTTTAAGCTAATATTGTTTTGTTTTCTCATTATTAATCTATTAATCTATTCAAGTATCAAATTTTATCATTTAAAAGATTAATTTCACATCTACAAGGAACTGAGATGCATGTTACATATAGAAATCAATAGACCCTAACAAAATATTATATCATTTATCTTTTGTTAATGTTATTAGTTTATCCCAAAACGGTAACCATAAACCAATCGGTCGCTCCTGGCACTCCCTGACAGCCGTCAGTCAAACTCATATATTCTTATACGGCGGATTTACTACCGAGGGAGATGTATTAAGTTTTTAAAATTTTAAATAAAATATATTTATCTGAACATGCTAATAAAAATTTTGATATCAGCTGATTATAACATATCCCCCCTCCCTTAAAAATAATTGATAATTTCGTCATTTCTAGATGATGGTTGGTTGTTAGATGTAGATCTATTAGTATGGATTCAAGTCGATATCACTTTTGCCGGCCCGCGCCTATGGCATTCTTCTACCCTCACGCAACACGGGGAAGTGTTCATTTTCGGAGGTTCATTGGTCAATGTACTCCAGAGACAGCAAACGGTTTATTCATTCATGAGCTATATTATTTATGACTGAATTTACTACATTCATTCATTTAAGCCATTTAACATTTTTCACATGCGTTTTCCTTTCCACTTGAATAATATGATCATTTTTAATTTTAAAAACATATGAAGAAATAAATAGAATAATGAATTAATTTACTTTTTATAATTCTTCTTATCTATCACCCTAGGATTTTTCTTCTCTTTGATTGGAAACTCTTATTTATACAACTATTTTTTGCTCGCTCAATTAGTTGGGGGGAAAAAATATTTTTTAAAACCTGGCTCCTTCCTGGCTTGTTAAATAATAATGAATATTAAAGGTCCTGTTCTAGTTGTTAAGTTTTTTTATTTCAGAATTATGATTCCAACAGCTACGATATTAAAAAAAAATTATGTCAAAAATCTGTAAAAAAACCTTTGTTATCTTAAATTTCGAAAACTGATCAAAAATGATTGACATCAAAGAAATCTAGTAAAATATCTTACGCCAACAAATGATCTAGATTAGTGTTTTTAAAAAGGCTAACTCGATATTTCATCCAGAAAAATATTACGCAAACCTGAAGATTTTACTCATAGAAGGAACAAAAGTCTAGACATATATTATCGAAATTCCAAGGCTTAGGCAATTTTTCTGGCTAAAATATTGAGTTAGCCCTTTTGAAAAATCGGTTCAAAACGAGCTGTTTAACAACACTAATCTAGATGTAAAAAAAATTTTGCCACGTAGGAATATATTTGAAATAAAAATGGAAAAATTGCTAGTTTTGGAGGAATCAGATGCGACTCTTAACAATTAGCCTGGGAAACATCATAGATCAACCAATGTTACCGGCAATTTAGGTAATAAGAACATGTATGTAATATCTTACAGAACTGAATCGTCTGAAATTTATAGGATAGATATTTTTACACATTCTGGAATAAATTTCTGACAAATGTAGCATTTTTAACATTTTTTTTTAAAAAAAGGGTGCTAAATACATTTATTTTAAGTTAGAAAATAGCAAAATAATTTGTTGAGCCCCTTTTTGAATTTGAAGATCTGATTTTGCCCAAAAGATGTTCTAGTACATGGGTGTAAAATATTTATATATTATCAAATCATTAACTCTTTAGTTATTTTTGAAATTATATATTTGAAATCAGCACGGACTGAATGAAATATAAGTACACATTTCTGGTATAGTTAACATATATGCATGACGGTCATTCCTATGAATAAGGCTGGATTCATATTGGGATCCGATTCAACGCGATTGAACAGCTGAGTGATTTTATAAAAAATCTTTGAGATCAATTTTTCTTTTTTAAAATGAATAGTCCTTAGATTTTTAATCATGGAATAGAATTTCAAAAAAGAAAAATTGATCTTGTAAACAGTTTTTTTTAAAAAAATCGATCAGCTGTTAAATCGTGTCGGATCTGATGACATTATTACCATAAATCCAGACTAAATTAATAAATGTCGAAATATAAAGACACATACGATTCTGCGGATTGAAACTCATTGGACCCGGTAGAAGAAGTATTTTTAATAAAATCGAATCCTTTCGAATTGGCTTTTTTAACCACCACACAATCACAACATAATCAAATATTCTAGCAATTTTAGTCACCACTATTTAAATAACTCTTATACCTATTGGTTGTACGCTGAGAATTATTTTTCTGTAAAAAAAAAGACGCGCTTATGTTACAAGGCCATATTATTGCGCGTAATAAAAAGATAATAAAGATTTTTTTTTAAAAAATATACAACAAAATACAGAAGAAAAAAAAACACCAATGCCATTTTATTTGATCGAAAATTTTTATCAATACAAACAACCCATTTTAAAAAAAAATAAATATATATGTATACCTCCAAAACCAAAGGGTAGTTTTTAATTGTTGGACAGTGAAAGATGCATTTGAACGTCATTTTATAATTATTATATTAAATTTTTTATCTCGAAATTAAGCGCCAAAGTAACGAAATATTGATATTCCGGCCTTCGCCCAAATCTCTTATCAGGTAAATTACGGGATATTTTGATAATATTTAATTGGTATAATATTAAAATCGTTATTTTAAAAAAGGGAGTTTGGCGCTAAAACTGAAAAATCTGGATACCAAAATCCCGAACTCATATCTCAAAATTTCTAGTAACTTAAACCAGAATCCATTTTTTGTATAAAATTTCTAGGAACCACCTGAACCGACAAATTTTAACCCCTCACCACGCTACGCATTAATATAAACGTGAAATCAGATTATCGATGATTGACATATTTATGCACATTTATAGAAATTTTATCTTGGCTGCATTTACAGTTAGCGCAAATTGGCGGCATTTTGTATACCTCGCTGCGAATTGGCGCTAATTGTGAATGCAGGGTAGTTTATAGTAAACGTGCATCGTTTGGAATTAAGTTTTTATCACTTACCTATATTTAAGTTTTTGACAGACCTCGTGATTGAGGGAGGAGGGGTTAATATAAATAGGGTTCAAAATTATATATTTAATCTTACTGGGTCTTATTTAGCGTGTTTAAAAAGTTTTTGAAATATTTTTTTTGCAATTGCTTATTAACAAAGTTTAGAAATAGAGCCAGTGACCCTAGAACCAAAACGCAGAACTTCCAGAGACCAGAAATACTTCTTCGAGAAAAATATTTGAACTCCTTTAATCCAGATTTTAAACTCTGATTGAAGGTGTTATTTTATTAGTTAGATTATTTAAACTATACGGGTTTAAAAAAAACTTGTTTATTATCAAGGTCCATTTTCGGCTAACTTAGTTTAAGCTATAACTGGAGCCATAAACCTTTTTTTTTGTTATCAATTTTTTTAAAAAAAACTAGATATGACTTTAGAATTTTATATTAATTTATAGCATTCGCTCGTTATCAGTCACATATTATTAGATGTTTTAAAGATTCAGATGCTTTTAAAAAATAACATAATTTTATTAACATTTGAATATAGAATTCTTAAAATTATATATATATTTATTTATTTAGGCAATGTTTGGACAAGTTTCTGAAAGATGAAGTATTGGCTAGGAATAGTTTGAGATTTTTGCCACCTCAACTAGCTCATATCGTCAAAAGTGGAATGGAAGGTGGCTGAAGAAACTTCATTAAATTATATTTTTAAATTATATCTTATTCCCCCCCCCCCTTGATTTTTTTAAAAAAAAATCATCTATACCTTTATTATTTTTGTATATTTATTCTTCGCATACTACATTATATTATAGTTATGTAATATTTGAATTATCTAAAAATTAATAAATAAAAATAGCTAAAAAAAAATATAACACCTTGCCGAATGATAAATCGCGGGGAAAATGTTACAAAAATATATGCCATCGCGGAAGGTGTAAATTCCGAGAAAATTCTAAAGTTTTAAATAAGATGATAGATCATGGAACATGTGACAGTGAATTAAAAAAAAAAATTGGCAGGAAGAACAGATAGTTATAAAAATCTTACGTGGAATATTGAAAATAAGTAAACAAAAATAAACGGTTGAGCAAGGGCGAAATATACTTCTTTTTTAGGGGTTCGTTAATCCAGGATTACAACCCGGGGTATTTTGGGACAATTTGGTTTGATTTTAAATAGAAAATAATAATTTTTAAGATCGACAAATTATATGAAAGTTACAGAATAATTTGATGCCAGTTCATAGGTAAAGAGAATGTATTTGAAATACTTTCGAAAAGAGCCACAAAAATTTTATATTTATATATTTTAGCGGTAATGCGTATTTTTCCGGCAATATCTTATTTTTTTCAAACCTTCAAATCATTTTTTTGAGTCGCCATTTTTTTTGTAAATTTAAAAATCTGATTTTACCGGAAATACCAATCCAGGATGCTTAGAATACCTATCTTATTATTTGCGTAGACAATTTTTTATATGAAAAATTTATGGGAAAACTAAATATAAATTATATTAAGTTCAAAAGTTAATGACCAAATTATCTGAAATTCAGAGGGTAGGTATTCCAAACATGATAAAATACATTTCCATAAAATCCTATCTAACTTCAAAAATATGATTTAAAGTTGCAAAAATAACACATCCACTAACATATACATATATATATATATTATTTTTATGAAATAACATGAAAATTAACCTTTGGCTTAAATAGCTGGGAAAGAGAAACTTAGTAGATTTTCTAAGTATAATCATGACAAATTTAATTTAATAGGTTTTCTTTTTATTTAAAATCAGGATGCAAAATTTATATGATTTTTTTTTTCTTTTTTACTTTCAGCCACATTTGTTGCTAATAGTGTTTCTAAACGGCTCGATTTCAACCGATTTTTATAAACGGCTAACTCAAATATTTTATCCAGAAAAATATTACGCATCTTCTTAAACTCTACATTTATATCGGATTTACAAAAAAAATAAAGTGTTACTTTAAAATTGTAAAAAAAATCTCAATCATTTAAATTTATCATCATTTTTTGCAAAATATTTGACACTTGGGTCATTTTTTAAAACTTTATATTACGACTCACATTATTAGACATCATTCTCAGTAACGGCTATTCCATTTTTTTGTGAAAAAATAAAACATTTAACTTGTAACAATAAGGTGTTATCAAAAATAATCGCTTATTATATATTTTTTTTTAAAGTAAGACTATTTGCTGTTATCATTAGCATTTGTTCGATAGGGTCGATAAGATGGAGGTGGATCTAACCCTGAATTCACAATTAGCCGAAAAGTATGCAAAAATGAAGCATATTTTGCTTACTTAGCCGCCAATTCGCGTTAACTATGAATGCAGGGTAAGTTTCTCTTAAAAATATGATAAGTGTGTAGGGGTAGATCTACCCCCCTATGGACATCATTAGTGCCATTATTTCAAAGAGATTAATAAATGAACATTCTCATTCCCTGCAAGGCGCCATTTCTATCAATATAATATCTCTATGACTCGAGATCATAATGAAACCAGAGTTACATATGATAAAAGATGTATAATCTTTCTAATGTAGGAAACATTACGTTAGTAGTTATCCCAGACTCTGGCCCTCTGAGTGTACATTTATGTTCAAAGAAGTTTAACCTTATATTATTACCGGAATCGAGTAAACTAAACCTAAAATAGGAATTTAAAGCCGTTTCCTAATTGTTACAAAAAGTTCATTTCGAAAACTTTTTTTTCGTGCTTGTTTTAGGCTGTGTCGTGTCCAAAAACATCAAAAAAATTAAATTCACAAAACTTTCGAAACTTTAATAAATAAATAAATGCGTTATTTTAAATAGGAACATACAGACATGTCCAAAACATAATCCTAAGAAATTTTTTTATAAATTTTCAAAAAGATTACGATTTCATTAAGATTTTATGATTGGTTTTGGGCACAACCTTGACAGAGTCTGGAATTTTAAACCTGAAATGGTGACAAGAAAAATGTAAAATTTCTAGAAGAATATCTTTATTTATTAATTGAATCCGAACCATCTATATTTTTTAAGTATTTAGAAACCTGAAGTTTAACTTATTTTTTCTTCTCTAATCCACGTTCCAAACTTTGATCTCAAGGTTACAAATGTGTTTCTAAACCTATAGATTTATGAACCCCTTAAATATTGTCTTTATCATAAATTAGCGGTGTTTTTGAGGCGACGACCCGAAAAATGTATTTTATAGAATTTTCTAGACCGATATGATTTTTGGACTGACCGGGCTTTTGGAAAGCACGAGGCAGTCTTCAAACAACTCTTCGAAAGAGACCATGTTGTTTCTCCAAATTTAAAATATTTTTGTGATTAATTTGTTATTTTTTTGTTTATTGGTGTAAAATATTAAATATCAATTTTAAAATTTAGAAAATATTTATTATTAAGTGTACATATTCATTGTTTTGGAGAAGAAAGGGGTATTTTAAATGAAACTTTCATATATGCTATACTATGCTTATGATAATGTTGCTAAACTTCTGTTAATAAGCAGCCTCACCGCATTATATATTCTTTTGGCGTAACCATAAAATATGGTCCTTACATTTTTGTCGAATACTATGTTAATGTAAACTCCGATAAGTGGATTCAGGTGTTTTATAAAATGCGTAATAATTTGAATCTTGAATGTCTCAGGGGGTAAAGCTAAGTCGATCCAAAAGTACTTGTATTTTAAAACGAAACATATGAAAGGGGCGTTGAAAAAGAAAAGTAACGAACTCTGCACCAAGATTAGCATGACAGTTTGGTTGTTCAGCAAATATTTATTCCGCATAGACACCGATTTTCTCGTTGAAAATAATATATGAGACGCTATGTGAGAAGGAACCATTGTCAATGTGTTAGAAATTATATTTTCGGCCACGTCAATGGAATTGACGTTCCGCTTGACTGTCAATGGTTTCCATATAAAATGTCTGAGGAATTGGTTTTGACTGTATGTCGAGTTATTACAGTTCATAGTGAAACAATCATCGCTGGCATGATTTGTGAGATTTGAATGATTGATTATTATCTCCTTCTTCCCGTCGCTGTTAATATTGATATTGGTAACCTTGCTATCCTTACATTCCTTAGTCTCAGGTGGGGGTGTCCCGAGATGAGTAGGGACATTTATTTTAGACATATTGAAACTTCCTAATGCCGTTAAATATGGCTTTATTTTTACTAATTTCCACTTTGTTTTTATCCTCAAAGTCTTTAGCGAGAGTGTATATGCATTACTTGGCCGAGATGGGCAAGGATTCACTTTCATTCCAAGTCTTTTCTTAGATAGCAGTAGCGTATTCACTATTATCGAAATGAGCACGGGTATCAAATACATTATAGCGCAACACATCTGGTCGTAATAGAGGTGAAGTTGGTTTAAATTTTGAATTTGCTTGTACGTTATCTTCCCGTCCTTGTAAACTTGGATTATGTGAAATAGCCAATACCTCGGAATGTTCAAAAAAATGCTAAACAGGGTTATTCCCAGACACTCCTTAATTATGCGAGATCTCGTGAAAACTGATCCGTAATTGTAAGGTCTTTGTATAGCAAATAGTCTATCCACAGAAATTAGGGCCGTTATCAGGTTAACATTCGAGGCGCAAAATTCGATGAACACTGGCTGCACCCGGCATATGTAAGTTAGGAAAATCTTTGACTGGGAGGTCCCGTCATAAATTATGTAGAAAAGGAAAGGCCAGCTTATGAAGTTAAGGGCTACCAGGAAGTCCGAACTGAGAACGAAATAAATGTAGATGTAATAATGAGGCTTGCGCGTCAATTTGAAGGTGGACAAGAAATAGAGAAAGTTACCAACCAACGCGAACCACGTTAATATGGACGTCACATAATTGGTTAGCACGATTTCTGCCTTAGAGGACTTGTAATTGCTATATTCTTTCACGTCGATCGTGTTCTGTGCACCGAAACTGCTAATATTCATTTTTTTTTTAAATTATATATTATTTACTTTTTCTTCTTAAGAGATATCTAATTTTGGAAATTTATTTTGTAACATTAAAAAAATAAAAATAAATGATAAAAATGTTTTTGGGACAAAACAAATTTTATTTTTATTTTTAGACAGTTGGGGAGAAATGGTCTAAATTTAATAATATCGACAACAAATATCAATTCATGTTGATCAATAATTTTTGTCTTTATCGTAATTTTTTCCAAAATTATATCCTCCTCATCAATATCTGTCATTTTTTTAAAAAAATTTTCACCTTTTTTTCCCCATTATGTGTTTGTGTACTATTTTTTTTTCCTTATTTTTATCTACAACATTAGAAAAATGATAGAAATTTCTCGTGTTTATGCAATTTATGATTGAATTTATCTATGTTTTTTTTTGTTGCCTACGTGATACAAAAATGTAATTTTTATACAATATGTTATATTGATATATCCCAATATAATAATTTTAAAAAAAGTAAATATTTCTTTTTTTTTAAATATAAATTATTTGAATATTTATTTCGGTCAAATAGTCTTCAACAAGGGAGTGTTTTAGGCACTTCTACCTAGTGATGTTAAAAGGCTCGATTTGAGTCGATTTTTTTTAAAACGGCTAACAACGCTCAATGTTTTATTCAGAAAAATATCATGCAAGGTTAAAGATTTTTGCTCATAGTTGACACAAAGGTTTGGACACCTATTAGCGAAATATCGAGGCTTATAAAAATACTTTTTACACTAATTCTACCATAGGCCTGGGAGGGGGTGAGGAGTAATTACTCAAAATAGGCATTAAAATTAAGGGTGGGGGGGGGGGGGGGTTGTTAA